GGTGTTTCATACTTCTGCATATCCTCGAAAATGCATCGCAACAAACTCAAAAATTGGTAAGGAATACATTGTCCTTGGAAACAGTAGGAAGATATCACACAAAGGGAGCTACTGTGTTAATGCAGAAATTGAAATAATATCAATTGCTTTTATAATTTTCTGCTACATCATGTCTAAGTAAAATTTTCTCATCGTTTTTCTGTTCACCGAAAGGTAAAGCGATCAAGTATTTTTACGAAATGTGACATGAAACCTTTTGATTAGAACCATTTTGGTTTGTAGTATGTTGTGAGATTTGAGAAATTTTTTTTTATTTGATATATTAGAATTTAGCAGTTAATACCAATACTATAACAAATCAAGGGGCGCTGCAGTGAATTGAAACGAATCGAGGAATCAGTATTTTTTATCACGTGGTTTTACATCGAACACTAAGCATAATAAAGTATAACCTAAATACTGCACTAAATATATGACATTTTTCACTTGTTAGGATCATCACATTAATTGTAAAGATCAGTTAACACGTCGTTTCTCCGCATACAAAACTTCAACGATGCACCGTTTCAAGAAATGAAAATAATTTTAAGACTGATTGATAGCAGGAAGTTGGAATTTTTTAGGTCAAAGGTATAGATTGCTGTTTCCTGGAGAAACCATTCAAAATTTTCTATTTTGGCATACAATAGTAAGGTGAATTCATGTGGTGTAAAGGTCAAAATAAAAACAATAATAGAAGTTCTACACAGTATACAAACAATAATATTACTGCTTCTTTGGAAGCACACTTTGGGGATTAATTACATGGAGAAAGTCATCGAATACATTGAATTGTAAAGGTTTAAGCTCAATTTCTTCATTGCAAACTTTGCCACTCCGAAATGGGTCATGCACTGTCGTCGCCTCAACTGTATTGTTTTCTGGCATTGATTTTATCGGTGGCACGGATTCTGATTCTTGACATGTTTCTGGTTGTGTCTTCAAGCATTGTGATTCCAAAGTTAGATCTGACTGACTTATTTTTCTCCGCTTTTCCAAATGCGTGATTTCTGGTTCAGCTCTAGAATCAGCCAATCATTTCACCAAAATACATTCACTTCACTTTAAACAATAGTGCTATCAATCACAATTTCTTCTGATGATATAATAGTTCTCAAAAAATTTTGGAATGGCGTCTGATTACTAGGATTATTGAAAATGATTTTTTTCTTAACAAAGTTACCAGTACCGAGAAAAAGAAGCATCCAAGTAACCATTTGTTTGTTCCAAAGAAGGTTGTGATGACGGCAGTGAAGAACCCGATAACCAATCCAAACACTTTTCTAAGTCTATTTGTACAGGATCGTGGATGAAGTGACATTGGTCACCGTAAGGACAGTAACCAAATGTTGTGTATTTGATACACAATGCAGTGCGATAACGAGGATTGTTGAAAACTTTCTGAAAAGTCAGAATAAAATTTCATCATATTTCTATTCTGTCGTAATTTTACAATTTGAAATGCGAATTAAAATCCAAAAAGCAACGTTGCTAAATACTTTGATAGTTTTTGCCAAATCGCTAAATACTGCTGAAACTAAAAGATTTTTTCATTTACTGGAAGAAGAAAATGCGCAACAAATGTAATTTGGCCTGCTGAAATCTTACTAACCACTTCGGCCTTTGGCATCGGTCGCAATTCTTCTGGGCCATGCGCAAATTTGCAGTGTTTCCCGTAATTACAACGACCAGTATCTTTCCACGCTTGACATGAAATCGTCTGAAATCTGCATAATTACTAATGCGCAAAAAGTTGAAGACATCTTGAAGTCACTTCATGAGATGTAATTAATATTAGCTTACAATATGATCGAACATTTTGGCAGTAATAATTTGGATAAGTTGATAGCTTAAAAGATTAACAAAGTATTTAATATAATTGTTATTTATTAAGTTCATTTCATGCCAAATTTGTTTCCCATTTAATGCGATAATTACACAGGAAGACAATAAAAAGAACCAAAAAATCAAAACAAAATGATTAACTTTATATTTCTATTATTATTGTATCATTTATCAGATAACCTTGATATAAGCAAAAATTGAATTTTATCAATTGAAATCCAATAATCAATCTTTTTAGCGCATTAATGTATGCATCTTTTAGTTCCTAAATGTTTTGTCAATATATTTTCAACGGAAATATCAGTTTCATATATTTTAATCTTAGTGATTCATTAATGTGACTAACATTGAAGAATGCTAACCTTATGAGTTTCAGCTTTCCGTTTTTGTTTCCTCTCAGCTAATAGTAATTGTGATTGATAAACAAACTGGAACCATTGCCAAACATACAAATCTCTGTTATAAAAGATTGGATCGAAAGGCCTTTGTTTTAATACTTCTCCTTTCAACACCGCATTCATAATTTATTGCTTGAAGCTAGCTTAAAATATTTTCCCAATATGTAATAATGCTTGTAAAAATAAATTTATTCTTACAAATTTAATCATTCTAAATTGTTTTTTTGAAATGAACAATATAATACTGAAATGAAACTAACCCTCCACTTTCAATGCCAATAACTTTTGTTCGCTGTTAATATAAGCAGTCTAAGTGCTTTAGAGACGAGCATTGTTCTACAAAGCGCTTCAGAATGAACTCCATTTGCCGCCATCGCTGAGATTTCTCTCTGTAGAAACATTCATTTTCCTTTTTTTTTTGCTTAACTGAGCATAAATTTATTGAAATAATAACTGAGAATAAAAATTCGTGCGCTAAAGAAATTATCAGTGAAATTTCAAAGAATTCTTTAATTCTTACGATTCCTGGAGGAGAAATATTGTATGCACTTATAAACTGATAAGTGACAACACAATTCAGACCTAAACGAAATCTGCCGAGCAACAAATTCAAAATCATCTAATACTGATATGAATGAAAAATTCAAAAATCTTGAAATCTAATTGCATCAGGATGGAGCGAAATTTTTAATAAATTTAATCATAAAAATGGCTATCCAAACAAAATGAACTTTTAGGATAACTTAAAGATTCATCTATGCATTATAAATCTAAAAAATATTTTCCTACAGTTTTACTCATAGTTCAAACAATCTTTTATTTCTAGACATGAATACAGTTAAGTCTGCCTTACTTTATCATCTGAAACCATCAGCCGAATAATTTGATAATTCATATCTTGAATTTCTTCCAACAATTTTGTTCATAATCGATGTATAATACGGAAATGCTACATAACTATCTCATTTCAATCTAGAAGTATTTAAATTAGAGTAAAGTAAAATTAGCAGCAGAAAATTGGTTTAAATTTTGAAATCATACTGTTGTTTCCTAGCTGTCTTATTAATTAATAATATTCTATAGCTCTGTTAAGACGGCGTTTATTCCATTTTCAAAAAAAAAATAATGAAAAGTTAAGTACAAACAATTACATCTGTCTTTGCCCATTGAATAACCTCGACATTTTACTTATTTTATCTGTCACTTCTTTAACCGTCGATTATTCTTCAGGGCTTTTATGCAATTATCACAATATCTCATCTCAGTTTATTCTAATTGTAATGAATTAAGTTTAAGCTACTGTGATGAATTTTTAATGTCAATGTCACTGTATTGGTGACAAACTTTTCTCGACTTTTTCCTTTTTATATTTACTATTATTTAAAGACAGAGCATACTGAATGTAATTGTACGGATAATTGGTGATTGCTTGGTTATTATAATTATAAGGTTAAATCGATCTTCTTAAAATTCTATTCAATTTCTTCTATTCGCACATTCATATCAAATATTTGAGTAAATAAATCAGTTAATCTACCAAATCAGTTAATCATTAAATTGATAAAATCATGCATTCAGCTTGTTTTTATCCTTGATTCATTCGTATATTTTTCTCTACAACTTAAAGGGCTTTAAAAGATACCACGTGCCAAATCATTTTTTAATTAATTATGATGCTCCAAGAATAGATTTAAAAGAAAAAAATGTCAATCAGTTTATAGGATACTTTTTCAACCTTTCCATACATTCGGGATCTTAGACCGGTCGACTTTGATAATTCAAAGAAGAAATATTCCTTTGAAGATTTGTTAATCTACTTTTTTTTGGTTTAAAATGACGCATAACTTTTTTTCAATTTCCATTATTTAATTGAAAGACAATTTAGGAGTCAATCTTTACTCGCAAAACAGAATTTTACTAAATTATGCAGACTTAAAGAAGCATTTAAACAAGTTGTTAAATTGTGACATTGATTGAATTGTATCAAATGGATAAATCATTGTTATCACATTCCAGTTTATCGCTTTTCCTAATGAACATGAAATATTTGATATTTAATTACCCCTCGCCCTAATCATATGTGTATTATATAACAAAATTCTTCACAGCATGAAAATAGTATGGTCCAATATTTTTTTAAGGATAGCGAAATTTATTGAATTGATGAAATTTTTGCAAGTGAAAAGTTTCAATAATTGATTAATTTGATTCAGCACTCAAATACGTATGCTACTGCTAATATTATTAAAAGAACAAAATTTTTTTATTTAAAATAATTTCTTTCATTTCTAAGGAGTTATTAGTGATGATAGATCACATTGCCTAAGATTTTTGTTACCTGGGTTAATTATCATGCAGCAAAGGAGTGTGAATATTTTTTATTTGAGTATTTTTAACTTTTAAAAATTACAGAGATATGAAGTACACAAATATGTATTAAAATTGTTTTTTTCATTTTCCACTGATTAATCAGCAGTTGTGGAAAAAAGTAACAAAAAGGTAAATATTACTTAGCACCTGTTTCATAATAGCACTACTTTATTTGAATCAATAAGTTTATAATGATAATGTAAAGCTCGAGTTTTTGAAATTTGAAGAAGCTATTCAATGAAATTTTCAATTTACAATAAGGTTCAAATAGTGATAGTTAAAAAGTTCAAAAACCATAGTCAACAAATGGTCGTTTCGTTTTTACCGGTTCATTCCATTTTCTGCTATTATCAAGTTCATGAAACAAAAACTGTTGCACGCGATCCCACATTTTTCGTTCACAATATATGCCCTATAAAAATTGCTCATATTCAATTTTCCAAACTTTTTAAAATTACATTTATTCAAGTTAAAACGGCTTGAAATAATTACTTTAAAAAAATTTCAAATACTTTCGACAAAAATGGAATTCTCAAACTCGATCAATTTTTTCTAAAATCTTTTTACATTCCTCATCCTTTCAAATTTTCCTGAGATGTAAGAAGATTGAAAATTTTAGGGATTGAAGTTCAATAAAAATGTTGACAGTATTTTACCTGATGAGTAGCTTTATCAAGAAAAAAAGGTTTCGTAGCATTTGGTAGTCGACTTTGCAGTTCAATACTGTGATTGATGGAAACGATTACATCATTCATTCCATGGCAGATTAGCGTACGGCAGAGTATTTTTGACATTTTATCAATGCTGTAAAGCTTAAGCTTATTACACGAGATTTTTAACGAAGATATCTTTGATCTCATTTACCAAATGAAATGATAAGTGTTCATTGAAATATTAGCACTCATAATAATTCTCTCCAATTTCAGTTGTCAAGACTATCTTACCCCTAATCATAGTTTAGTAATCAATAATGAACCTGTAAAAGCTATCAAAATATTCCGTTTAGTATTTCTCGAAATGAGCTCAGATTAGCAACAAACAACGTTCCGATTTATTCATTCATTAATTAAACTATCGACAGTTTAAGGCGGAAGAATTTTTTGACTTATTTAAAGCAACAGAGTATATTTTTTTTGTAATTGATATCGCAGTGAGAAATTGGATCTTTATCAAACTATCTCAGAACAATTGTTAGTCTCTTCAAATATGCTATGTAAATATACATAAACAGTTATCAAATAAAATACATACAGAAAAGAAACCTTGAAAACTGATCCAAACAGCAAGTCTTTTTACTAGCCGGTTTACGTCTAAGCACACGTAATAGCGATGTGAAGGGAGCAATTAGAATCAATCCCGCTACCTGTAGTAGCATATTTGATACATTTTAAATTGTTTTCTTATAATAATCTGTAAGTTTCAGTAATTAAATATCTATGATTATATGATTATGCTGTTTTATTTTATTTTGTAGCAATTTTTTACATGAACACGAGATATTAATTTCACATGACTACTTTTTATGACATGAGCGAACTTAGTGCTTTTCATATTACTGTAACAAATTTAAATTAACAAAATTAAAACAAAATCTCTCCACTGTAAACATATTCCGCTCTATATTTTTCCTTCTTCTTTCTTTTTATTGCAACGAATTCGAAAAGATTAGCATAAATTTAAATAAATAATTGTGTAAAAGTTTAACAGAACTTTTTCGTGTGATGCTAAATGAATAGCAACTGCAGTACCCATACTGAATCCAATTAGAATTATTTCATTTGGTTTTGCTTTCATTTCTTCAGTTAAATATCTGAAATGATAAAATCATATTGCTTTGATTTTAATCAAGTTCATGCCGCAATTTAATTTGAAGTTTTATGATAGATATTTTTCTATTTGAATGCATGCTGGTATTTGTGTTTGCTTTTCTGCTTAAATGCATGTCGGATTTGTATTTGCTAATAATTAAAATATTTTGAGATATGGAACACTTTGATAAATCATTATTATCTGTTGTGCACATGAAGAATGAATAAGCAGTGATATCCCCTACATAACCATTAGCTACTTTTCCGTAGAATTTAAACGTGATGTAGGAATAAATCTCCATCTAATATTATTTTTTTTATTGAAAATTTATCACAAAATAAACTGAACTGATAAACGGCCTCCATATTCTGATAGACATTTTTTTCTGTCGAAGTTCCGGTACTCAGTCCAAAACCACTGTAATCAAATGCCATTAAATCACACTGCAAGAAATCTGCTATATCAACCTGAAATATTCAACAACAAACTGAGCACGAGATGTGGATAATTAATGGTAAAAATTTAAGATATTTCTTTAAAGTTTAAGAAGCAAAAAAAGAATTACAAGGCATCGAAATTCAAATTAAAAAAAAAAGCTAATTTATTTAATAACTTACTTTGAAATTGTTCACTACAATACTAAATTTATGTTTAGATGCGATGAAGATAAATGTACCAAATTGGGATCGGTAAGCATGCATGAGCCAACATCTGAACTGTTTGGTTGAGCGAAAAGTATTATATAAGGTGCCGATTTCTTGCATTCATATGACTTCTCACATCGGATATACAGCGCCACCAATGTGTCACCATTAGCTGATGGTATTAAGTGCACCTACTTGTATCAATATTTATTTTTAATGCAAAAAGTTTTTTTTTGAAATTTGGTTTCTTTTGATTTTTAGTTTTTCATTTAAAAGCAATAAAAAAACTTTCATTTATTTCGGTTAGTAAATTATTTATGAAATAATTTTCCTGACAACAAATGTAATTAACGATATTTGGAATTGCGTATGGTATCATTTATTTTATCAGCTTATTTTGTTGGAGTATTATGAAATATTAAGAAATTAATGAATTTCTTGATAGTTTGATAAAAGTTTTGTTTTAAATGATGTAGTTTTCAATATGTCCGACCTCAATTCGCAGCAACTGATCGGCAACATCTGAATTTTTAAATTTTGGCAACAATAAATGTGGCAAGCAAATGGTTAAATTCGTGCTTTCTCGAGCGCTTTTTGCATCAAGAAAATATTGACGTTTGCCAGCCTAAAATTCTTTCTATTTAAATCAATGGTTTTTGAGCATGTTTCAGAAAAGTGCTTTTACGAAGATTTTAAATCCAACTTTTTACGAAGATTGGACTTGAAAAAACTATTAGATTTTATTTGAAAATATCAGCAATCATTGATATTTGTTCGTTTAACTTATCCAATTTAAATTTATCTATTGAGTAACATTTGCTAAGGCAAGCATTAATTTGCAAATACATTAATGGTTAATTTATTGCAAGGAATTTTTTCTAATGACTATTTTCTGCCTGTTTAACAAATGTGTTGCGGAGTGATAATCATACATTAGCAATGACAAAAATATGAAAATTTAAGATAAAATTTTGAAAATAATAACAAATAGCGCTTTATAGTTTCTTGCACGGCGAATGAAATATAATTTTTAAGTATTTTACAGTACTTTTATTTGCTTTCATTTTTCATCAACTTCATTTTTTGGTTCCATTATATAATATTATTTACTATTTTCATTTTCATTTGGTCCTTTTTTTGTTTCTTTTTTCTTTAGACGAATTGCTTACTTTTTCACCTATTAGGAAATAATAATGACAATGCTTGGGAGGATGAAAAGCAGCTTTTCGGATTACTAAATTTGGTAGTGGTGGACAAAGGATATAACACATTTTGCTTGTCCATTTAAATGCATGAAATAATCCTTTCCATCCTGTCATTTCATCTGTTGGCATTTCCTCACTCTGTGAAAGTAATTTGATGTATGCATCAAATGATGTTTCAATAAAAACAACTGTAAAGAATCATTCATATTTGAAATCTAAATTTAAATGCTGAAAAAATAAGCAATAATTATCTATAAACAGTCTAATTTTCAATTTGTCCGACATTAATATCTTACTTGTTGATTTTCTTTAACAATACATTTGCAAGCTCCATTCGATTCTACAAAAAGTTCACTGAACAAGCTGAATTTTACATTAATTTAAAAGCGAATAAAAAAAAAGGAAACCTTTGGATAGTGGAAAAGGTGATTCAAATACTATTTCTTCATCGCTGTCCTAAATTATTATGTATTAAAAATTTTCAATTAGGCCTAAATTAATCAAGCAAAAGTATGATATACAAAATTTGACATTGTAAAACATTAAATGCCATACTGATTTTGATCATGTCTTTTGATATGTATTTATTGTTTTTCTTAATCTATTATACAAAAGTTATTTTGCTAGCGACGAGAGTTTGGAATTTTTGGAAATTTTGAAATTATCGTCTTATATGTTGAAAGTTATATTATTAAAAAAAATTATCTATCAAACCTGGTCTTCATCACTGATTGCGCTGCTACTGGAAGAAATAGGTTTAGCGCTTATGTTCGACTCATTCTCAGGCATGCTGTAAATTGAAGAGGTTAAAACTTTTAGAAAAATTATTTTGAATCAACAAAATTAACATATTCGAATTATATAACCTGGACCATTTTTGAATTTAGACCATTTACTTAACCTAAATTGATGAAAACTACATTTGATTAGGTAGAAATGAAATTTTATCAAAAATCAATTTCTATTGAGTAAAATAAATGTAAAATTCAAACTTAAGAAGTAAGATTCCTTTTATCATACACTGTTATCAAAGTGTTACAATAAGTTTAGTGATATCTACCTCTTAACAGAATCATAAAATTCTAATGTATTTAATCATCGAATAAAAAATTATATTGAAACCGGCAAATTCTTAACCCCTAATTAATACTTCTGATATGATATTTTGCAATTTATGAAAATTTGTTGCTCAGGTCGTTTTTTTGGAGAGTCCATTCTTTGCTAAGAAAATTTGTCAAAATCCTATAGCTCCATGATATCTTTTCTTTATTTCTGATGTTTTATAAGTGAGAAATTATAATAAAAAATAAAAATGAAAATGAAGAATTGGGAAATTTTAGTCAGTTTTTTTGCAGCATCAAGCATTTATGTTTAATACGATTTGCTCAAATTTCAAATCTCTTCTCCTTCACCAATAATAACATTTCCTTAAAAAATGCCTCAGTTGAAGAAAAAAAACGAAACTTTATAGTTGCTACTTGAACCACCATCACTGCATAATGATAAAAAAAATTAACGAAAAAAAACTTTAAATAATTCCTCCTAACTGTTGCAGTAAAAATTTGCATGATCTCAAAAAAATTTTATCCTGTTCTGTCTCAAATAAAAAATTAAGAGACAGTAAAAGACATTGAAAAGAATGAAAATAAAATAATTGCAAAGTACTGGACTGATTTTATGAAATCACCAATAGCTCTTTTCTTTTCTATCTTCAAATTATCAATTTGTCCAACATTTGAAGTGAAAAGATATTTGACCTTATATATTGACCCAAGGTTATTCGTTTTTTGATATGCTTTTTAAAAAAATCTAAAAAGATTTCCATAATGTTATCCAAGAACCAAAAACCAAAATAGATTTATATAAAATTGGATTATAAATTAAATGTTAATAAAAACGAAGAACAATTAAAACCTATAAACAACAAAAAAAAACAGCAATCTGTTATGATTTCATACAACTGAGATCTCATTTAAACTGAAATATCGAACAAATAGCAGAATGCTCACTGCAAACCATAATCTGAAAAATAAGTTAAAACTGCGAAAAAATATGGAAGTTTCTAAAATTCCTTTTTATATTCAAATTTTTATTTCCTATTGAAAATTTTACGAGAAGTCCGATAAATTATGATAAATTTTTTAGTTGAACAAAAAAATTTCAATTAAAATCTATATGTTATTGTAATTTTCCTCCAAAAAAAATTATACTAATTATATAAATATTTGACATACGTGGAATAGCTATTAATATTAATCATTGCATTTGAATGATTTTCATCGATGTCCTCTTCTTCGCAGTTTTTCCTAATCTTTAATTATACATATATTTTAAGAAAAATTGATAAGAAAAATAGACGTTTTGATGGAAAGAAAAATTGAATTGTTAATTGAAATTTTGATCTCTCAAGGAAATTCATTCATCAGATCATAATTTTAACTGCAAAAATAAATAAACTTAAATTACAAATCAAAAATTTCTAACAGGATTAGAATGAATAATTAACCTTATTTTTCTTATTTTTTTCCTTTTTGATTTAATCTTATCACTGCTTTCACTCGCCCTATCAGAGATGATCTCCTCGTCACTCAATTCTTCGAAATCTTCATTGGCATCATTGTCGTTTCCTTCCGATTTATCGCTATTCTTCGTTACCCTCTTGTGGTTTAGTCGATGACGAAATGGTGTCGTCCTTCGAAATTTGTAATTAACTTTCAATTTGTTGCAATCTGCTTGTGGCTTAATAGCAGATTATGACAATATATTTCCGCTTTCCAACTAATAAATAAATGCAATAATTTTTCTGATGCTTCATTTAAGTTAAAGTACAAGATATAAACTGACTTCTGAGCTAAAAAGATTCATTTTGGTATATGACAGAATTTCACAATTTATTTCTCTCAGTTAAATTTGATTTATACTTATTTCTAACTTCTGTTATATATCAAAAAGTAAATTTTTCAATTCAACAGATCAAATTTTTTGAAAAATTTTAAAGAATGCTGTAAAATTTATGACGTAAAATACTAAACAAAATGTTTTGCAAATTAAAAAAAATTACCGAAGCGTCTTGTTGTAATTTTTGATCATCGATTTCGGGTAAGTATTCCAGGTCTTCCGCATCCATCTCTACAGTCAGCAATTATCTTTGAAACTGTATGAACGTTAATTATTGAGTAATTATATGGTAGAAGTTAGAAATAATATAAATCAAATTTAACTAAGGGAAACCGGTTGTGAAATTATTTAAGCAAATGGTGAACATATTGCCATGTAGAAATCAAATATCAGAAGGTAAAAAACTTTCACAGTTTAGGAAGTTATATATATTTCACTATTACCAATAACGTTCGTAATACCCTAAAGTGAATAAATAATACCCTAAAGTGAATAAATTTCAAAAATATACTGGCGGATAAGAAAACACTGACCTATGACGTCGTCGTCATCACTTACTTCGTCATAATTTGGCCACATTCTATGAGTTTTTTCAGGCTATGAACATAAATATTGAACGATGAAAAAAGTTCAAAATAGTCGGAAAATTTTTTGAAATGAAGTTGCAAAAGAAGAGCAATCGATATTTTTAACAATTTTAAAAATTAAATTTTGAATTTTTGAATTTTATGAATTTTTTGAATTTTATGAATTTGTAATATTTTACGAACTTCATATTTTATAAAATTATTTTACGAACTTCATACCCCAATTTCAGTAGAATATGATATTGTTTCCTCTAAAATCAGTAGAAATATGCAAAATGTGACAGGGCGGAATATTTTTGTCCTCTTTCCAGTTCACTGTTAGGACTTTGAATTCAACAATTTATATATTTTATTGATAAGTTTTTTCTTAAGAATAAGGATATGAAAGGATAAGAAGAGTTTCTGATTGAAATTGATGTTTCTCCATTTCAATAAATTTATTTTTGCTAATAGAAGAGACATCAAAATGTGAAATGGATCTGGTCAAATATGAAAGTTAGGCATTTCCTATCTTAATTAATTTCGAAATTAGGGTTAGTAATAGCGCAATTTAAGAATCAATTATTGAGTGAGAGAACGTTAAACTAATTTAATAAGTAAATTGTAAATAAATTTTCAAATGCAAGTAGTAGTAATTTTTTCAGAAATTAATACTTCATAAAAAGTGCACAAAATTTATTGAAGTATGCTTTGCTGCTTTTATGATGATACTACAGCATTAAAGAATTAATCTCATTTGTGCTGACGAAATCAGAAACTTAAGCTCACAAAACAGATTCAAAAATTCAAATAAAAATGAAAAATGATAGCGGAAATAGAAGGACTGTATAACCTAAAAGAAAATGACTTATGAAGTGTCCAGAGATAGTGGTCACTCAGCAATAAGATCAATAATAATGAAGTAAGCGCCAGTAGAGCATCGTGTAATCTGAGTTATCAGTGTAAATTTGTCGTGCAATGATTTTTTTAGTAATTGTGGCATTGAGATTTGCTGATGAAATGATCTTCTACAGTTCTTCACAATCGCTCAGTTTCGGATTTTGATATGTGAATTTTTCTATTCTTAAGAAAGTATGATTTGTAAGGATTTTCCAACCAACAGAAAAAAAAAACATGAAGTGCAAACTCGCAGCAACTATCTTGAATATCGATGAACACTAAACTGATCAATACTTGCTATTTTCATTTTTAAGTTAATATATTTTAACACTGGCTAATTAACTTTTGTAGTAACTATAATTGTGTCAGATTTGCCATCCTTTAAAATTTCAATTTTATTAAAATTATCACATCTATAAATAAGTTATGATAATATATTAATGGGATTAAAGAAGATACAGATTAATCGACTTCTTTACGAATGCGTATCTCACATACATATTCTTGTGGTACTGATACCATTCCAGGATATCGTTTCAAACTTGGCAATTTTCCTGGAACCAAAACTATTTAAAAAAGATTCTGAAAAATTTTCTATTTCTCTTTTCTGTTTCTCATGTCCGATCCTATCCTATGAGCAATAATTTTATTTAAAATCTAAATAAATACAAATTTTAAAAACAAAAATTTAAGCCAACGTTTCCGTTCACTTCTGCTAACAATAAAAGCAATTTACACATACCATTAGCAGGAGAGAATTCGAAATTCTGCAATAAAGTTGTGAGGATGATGAAAAGTTCCGTTCGAGCAAGTGCTTCGCCCAGACATGATCGCTTACCAATACCAAACGGGATCAAATGCTCAAAGTTGCAAAGAGTACCGTCACTGCTAAGAAAACGAGTTGGTTGAAAAATTTCTGGATTTGGATAAAGATTTTCATCGAAATTGATAGCACCAATTTGTGGCATTATAATCGTTCCCTGAAAATGAAATTAGCATAAGTAAATCGAGGTGAAACATCAATTTTTTCCTCTTCTATTTCTATAATATTTTTCGCACCTTCTCAATTTTATAGCCACATAAGATAGTATTGGAAGTAGTAGCATGCGGTATATGCCATGGTAATATATTAATGATACGTTGCACCTCATAAATGACAGCCAATGTATAGTGCATGATGGTACGATCTGCCCAATGTACAGTTCTCGTTCCCAGATTCTGAATGTCAATCGGAATCAAATAGCATTAAAGGATGAATTGTTTTTAGTTGAATATAAACTTGAATATAAAATGCATTTAACTTTTTATCAGCTGTGAAATTTCTTTATCATTCAATTTTATATTCTTAAAAAGAACTGCTGAATTCACATTTGGGATAGAAAGATTGATCAAATGCTTAAAATCATTATTGCATTTCTATCCGGCTTCATCTATTGGGATAAAGTATTAATTACTTTATCGATCTCATCATGTACAAGTTTCTGAACATCCGGATTATGAATGAGGTAAATGATCGCCCAGCGTAATGTTGTTACCGTTGTTTCCATTCCACCTGTCCACAGATCACCAGAATTCAGAGCCAAGGTTATTTTACTGAAGATATTTACAACAAATGCTTAATTCATAAAAATAGAATCTTAAAAATACTTTGCAATATTCTTCCAATTTTCAAAAAATTAAGTGCTGTAAATGAATTGAAACAAAAAACAGAGTGTCATTTAACAAATAATATGTCAAAGTAAGTCCGTGAAAATGCAAATTCTGCTGCAGTTGTGAAGTTTACTAATTTGATTGGCGATAATTTCATTCTTAAAAATTAATAGTCTATTATATAGAAAGAAAACTTACTTATACCGTTTTTCCTCAGTGTACTTAATCATATTTTTCAAGTAAGCATCAATGAAATCACTTGGTTCATCATCTTTGTTTGCTGAAGTAATAATCGCTTTTTCATGTTCGTTAATATGCTTCAAAAAAAATTGCTGTAATGCAAAGCCATTTTTGCAATAGCGATAGTATGTCGGCAGTAGAAATCGAACAATTGGATAACGATCCACAAGTAACATTGGAATACTGACGAACTGGAATTGATATTTCGCAAGCTTGTAATCATAAAATTTAATAGTGAAAATCATGTATATAAATTAATTTTTTCAAAAGTAAGTTTAGTTATACATTATGATTCATTTATTAAAGCAGCAAATTTGTGTGAAGGATTACTTGCACATAGCTCTCACATCTTTGAGAGTAGAATCGATTAGTTTTTTAAACCGTAAAAATTCCTGATCACCGTATTCGTAATTTTTACCGAGAATTAGATCATGAATAATATTACCCACGCAGAATGTAATTGGCAAATGAAGATCAGTTACCGCAGTTTTCTATAAATTAGTCAATTAATGAAACAATAATGCTTTTAAAAGTGTAAATACAAATGAATGTGTAAGCGAATTGCTGGGAATTAATCAGTGCATGAAAATTTCAGATTTTTAATTTCTCGATCTTTATGATTAATGAAATAGTAGAATCTTGGGAAGATATTGCTAGAATTAAATCACAAGAAGATTATATCACATTAAAAAAGGTAACAAAAACAACCAATTTGGTAGCGGCTATTTGCTTCTTCAGGTACTGAATGAGAGTATCCGTATAATATCGAATTTTTTGTTCCATCATATTCTTACCCATTCCAAAATCACGGAAAACTCTTAAAGCAAAACGTCTTTGATGGTTCCATTTCTCGTTCTGTGATAAGATAATCCCATCACCATCTGGATGATGTCTACTGAAGATTCCATAAACGAATGACATCGGTCGACCAGCAAAAATATTTCCTGACGTTTTACATAAAAGTTAAATTAGATTTCCATCTCTTAAAACACAAATTCAAATTTGAATACTTTAATGTTTAGTAATGTTTATAATTTAATTATTAGCTTAATACAAATTAAAAAAAATTAGTCTGCTCTACTCCTTGCTTTTTATGAATTAAATCTTTCAAGTAGAATAACTGAAAGATTGAGAAGGCTATTTTAACCATTGGCTTCCAAAAGTGACCATACCTTGGTTAATGAGTGTTTCACGAAGAAGTTTATAATCTGCGAGTACGACAATTGGTCCAGGTAGCCATATGGTAAACATTGGACCAAATTTCTTTTTCCACTTAATCATTGAACGATGTGGATAAGCTAGGTCAATCTGAAACATACCTGTTCATTTTTTTGAAAAAGAACCTCCAGTGCTAATTTACCTTGAAATTATAATTTTTCAGACAGCTTAAAATTTCAGTCGCAGTATTTTAACGTTAATACTGGCCGTTGAAATAAAACTGCTTGGGCAAAATGCTCATGAAGCAAATGACTAGTCAATTTGATATTAAAAATTGTCTGTTCCAAAACTATGCCAGTGGTTTTTGGTTTCGTTACTTGCAGTTGATTATTGGCTCTTTTCTTAACAAAAAAAAAAACAGTTGAATTTGTGATTATTCTTCCCAATTAAAAACTTGACATATTTTTGTCTAAAAATTTCAAGTCAGAATTTGTAATCAAACTCTTTAAAAAAGTAATCTAACCTTCTATTACTTTATATTTGAATGATTCGCCCTATACGGTACAGCATTTGCTCGTCTATTTATTTTTTCATAAGTTAGTTAAATTATATTCACTATTAATACCTGTAAGAAATTCCCAACGAAAGGTAATGGAAATGGTCCTGGTGGATATTTGTGTCGCAAAACCACATATTCGCTATACAAGTAATAAATGATTGCATGGAATATAAGTATTATGATAGCAAAAAGTATAGTCATTAGGATGATGTCGAATGATAAGAAGTGAAGTTTAATTTCTTTTTTTATAGCAAAATGATAAATGCTTCTTCTCAAAATAAAAATTTAATAATGCAGAGAACTTTGTTTTGGCGAACTGGATTGCAAGACAAAAATTTTCGATCCGATGAAAACTTTCACTTTTATATCGTTTTTTTTTCTGACCTAAATGGACTACTAATTTCACTTATCGACCACACTGCTCATTTTTTTTTTATTTTCCATATTTTTGTTTAATAACAACAAAATGCCGAATAAAAACACTAACAAATGATAAGTGGCACACAAATTTATTTTTTATTTTTTGGCCATTTCTTTTCAAAAACTTGTTTAATTTTAAAACATACATAAAAAAAGAAACCAAAAAGGAAAGGAAAAAAGAGGAAAAAAACAAACAGAAAATGCAATTATGAAAAAAAAACATGACAATAATTGAAAAATATTTTAAGAAATCAACGAAATTTCAAGTATTTCTTCATCTTCTTTCACATCTTTTTGATGATCATAAGCATATTTTCTTCATGGCCTAATTACAGTTGCAAATTCATGCCATTTATTTTATCTTTAAATTCATTTTTAACATCTTCGTCCACATTTTTGTAGAAATCATTGATTTTATTCATCCGATCAATATCCTTCATCGTTGGATTCATCATTACCGCTGATAACTGAAGAATTTATCCTTTTCTCAACCCATTTTTCATTTATTATACTAAGACATATTTAATCTTTCATCTGATCATATTTGCTGTTATTTATTTAGCAATTAAATATATATGCGGTAAAGTTCCAAACGCATAAAATTTTTTTTTTGTCCAGAGCACATTTACTGTAAAATGTTCATCTCATTTTTCGAAATTAAAATTCAATAATTTTGGAAGTAAACAATTAGTGACGATTAACAAATACTGTAGACGGTTAAAAAAACATTTTTTAAATGGAAAACCTTCGCAAAAACAGCTTGCGCTTTATTAGACATATTTGCGACAATAGCGTGAACTCGTTCACGTTTTTCTCTCTCTTCAATGTCTTTCATCCTTCGGTACTGATCGTACAGTTCCTGTAAAATTATAATTTTTCTTTTCATATAATCTTTACATGCTTTATCTTCTTAATTGAAAATCACAAAAAAAATGTCCTACCTGATTTTTACTGCTCAAAGTAAAGATTAATTGATCCAGTTTATTTTGCTTCTGTTGAAAACTTTCTTCTGGATTTGATATAATTTGATAGAACTGTAATAAAATATTTTAAAAATTATTTGACCTATTCGTATAATTCTTTTTTAAAATTTGACTTTTGAAGAGATTTTTCAATTCAATGAAATTTACATTAGGCTATTAAACAAACTGATATTGTCAATCAGGAAGAAATGTAGTCAGTTTGAAAATTCACATAAACTCACGTTCTTCTGTACATCATCCGTTGTTCCGCGTAAAAAATCTGGCAGGTTAGGCTTTACGCGAACTGAGATTTTATAATCGTTTTTCGTTGTTGTTGAAATGTAATCGTCACTTTTTTCCATTTCCGCAACGTAACCATCATAATCTTTCGGCTGCTTTTGAAGTAAGGGAGAAGTGGTCGTCATCATCCACGCCGATTGGAATGGAAGATTCTGAAGAGTTGATGTCGGAATTGTTAAAGCTGCCAAAGAGAGCGATGGTTGAGCGGAGATTGGAAATGATATTGGATATAAGTTTCGATTAAATCCATGTATCTAAAATATTATTTAAATCCAAGAAATTTTTAATTACATTCATTTCTGCGACAGTTAGATATCCGTAAAAGGGTTTAATAATCTCCGGTAAGCAAACTATGAAATAAATCAAACTTTTGAACAGAACATACTGGCATTGACATTGTTGGATGTGATAGGTGATAATAAGGGAAGAAAATGGGATCCTCCGTTATTCTTTGTTGCTGATAAGGTGATCGATGATGCCATGCTTGCAAGTTGAATTGTACAGTAATTCTAATGAAATTCAGGTGAATCGCTGATACCCACACAAGCCACATTTCGAAAAATGCAAATGATAAAAATTAGATGTAATTGCAGACATTGAAAACAATGTGCAACAATATATAGAAATTATAAAGATATACTGGGATTGAGGTCAATATTGAACTCGGCTTAATGGAAATTACATATTTTCGGTAAGAAATGAAATAAAATAGGTTTATGTGATAGTGGAGAGTTTAAAAATGGTCATAAAAAAAACGGGTCACAGTCTGCTGGAGAGTTAAAATATATCTTCTTTCAACTAATAAGCTTCCAGTTGACATAACTGCCCGATTTAAGGATTTACACAATAATGGAAAATGACCTATTTCTCAATTTTTCATTCTCAAAAGTTTCAAAAAAATATTTGAAACAAGTCAAGTCAAACAAAGTTAATCAGAGTTTAAAATAGCACAACTACATTTTCATTTCTTCATATATTTGAATATAATATATATCTAAAGCGACAAAGCAATAATAACCTCAGGAAATCTTAAAAACGGCAATATTTCAATGAAATAATAAAATTGAGAAGCAAATGGTGGTTACTGTTGAAGGTCATTCAATAATCGCCTCTGTCTACAGTTTTTGACCGAATTCGATCAATGCAATGGTTTTTAAATACTGAAAAAAACTGCAAAGAATTGATTATAAAATAAATATAGATAATCTACTTGGACCGATTAACTGTATATAATAACGGTTTATCCATTATTATCTAATGAAAAGTTTGAAAGAAAAAATTGGTAGCGATAATTTAGTAGAAGAAATTTTAATATGTTTTATCTCACAAATAATATATCCGTCGTATCTTTTCATCTCTTCTTCATTATTAATTGCTGCTCATCTCATTAGCAAATGCGACAGTTCTTAAAATTTTAGCTGTTTTAGTTCGTCGATTTGTCATTTAGAATGTTTTTACATTTCATATTACAGAATTCAAATAATTGATAGTGGAATAAGAAGATAAGGAAACCTGTTGAATAATTGAAAAAGCATAATTTTGAAATTGCCCAATTCAATTTGTTCTGGCTATGACGTTATTACTGTTAAGTGCGTTGATTCTTCCTATCCAAATCATTGATATGAAGTTAATTAGGTTGTGGTTTCTCTCTGTAACAATTTTTTGTAGCATATGTTAAATTTTTTCATAATCTTCCGCGAAATTAGTATTTTTCATCTCAATAAATTTCTTATACGATAATTGTTTAAGCAAAATAAGAGTGAAAATTTTATATTGAAATCCAATAATACAATTATTTTTTGTGATTCAGTAATAAATCTTTCACTGATCTATGACAATGAATGAATTAGAATCATTAAAAATTGATAACACTCTAACATTCCACCGCTGTCATTTTAATTCAGGAATACATAAATGTACGAAGTTAGAAAATATTTGTCCCGTGCAAAGTAATATTTTCTTTTACCTGTAATTTTCGTTATCAGTGTCAATGGTTAATGATTTAATTTTGCCTGAAATGGAACATTAAGAATAATTGTTGTATTATATTCGTCAAGTTTGTTTATGCTACGTGTAATCTGTGCATGTAGCAGAATTGTTCATTGTTAACTTTTGTCAATGACAAAAAAGGCATGCAATTTACGTGACATGAAGTTATTACTTATGTTTGCAGAAATATTTATATTTGGTGAATGATCCATATAATTGGGATACTGTATGAGAAATGAGTTATGGCAGTAATTTGGGGAAAGTTCTCAATTTTCGAAGAAAAAAACCTGAATATAAATAGCACTTACTTAAAATTATTATTCGGAACTTGCAAATTCCTTTGATATTGTCAATGAATATTTTCAAATGCTTCACGAAATTTCTTCATTGATTCATTAATATCATTTTGTTCTCACATATTTTCTGATATTCGTTGATAAGAATTTGACATTTTTTGCAAACAATATTTGACTTAAAGAATGCTTAGATAATAAATTATTCAATGATAGGCTTTCCTTGATGATATTCATTACTTTTTTGAGTTGTCAAATTGATTGACGCATTTCACTTGCTAGCAAGATATTTCAAATAAAGTAATTGATTTATGTGAACTGTAATTCGTCGTTAGCCGTCTTTTGTGCAAGCAGAAATGTTCCTGCATTTTGCCATTTATTTATATTTTAGCATAGTCATTCAAGATCGAAGCTTTATGAAATTTGAATTATTTTTATTATCGACCAGCGATCATACCATTGTGTCCTTCATTGTCGTCTAAAACGACGTATCCCAAATTTTTGACAGAAATAATGAGCCAGAGATTATGGGTTACGTCTATTATACACCGTAATCAACTTTTCGCTTCTTTTATTCAATATTAATCGCAGAGATAGCGAGAAATAATAAAAATTTAAAATACATCACCATTTTATTGCTCTCTAAATGAACATGAAGGAAACAAGGCAACCTACTTGTTCACAAATAAATATTTTCCATCATCAAATACTTGCCTGATTAAAAGTTAGGCATTAGAATTCCATCAGATCGCTGCTCCTACTCTGCTAAAGAAGGAATTAATTAATTAAATACAAATATTTTAAGATTCGATTATTCAATTATCAACAGGTATTAAAATATGATGTACATGATACTGAAGCATCAAATTTTTACTAAATTAAAAATTTGACATTTTAATGCGCTCTGAACAAAATGATAGAAATCGAAACAGAAGCATAATGAGTTCAAATTGTGGAATTTTTATTTCCAAGTTTCTTCGTCTGAAATTAGATACTTGAAATTAACATAAACTGATTAGTGCATCATCAACTCGAAGAGATTTCTAATTAAAATAAGGAAATGAATATTTCAGCAATTTCAAAATAGTAATACTGACGCAACCCGCTTGCGCAAAATATGTTCTCCATTGGAAACGCATTCCAATTCGAATGTAAAGTACACTTTTCTCAAAAAAAGAAAGAAAATAGTTCATTTGCAGGAAATGTGTTGTAAAAATTTACAATTGCCTTCTCAATTTGTAAAAATAGAATATCGGAAAATGAAATTATTACATGATTTTCTTCATTGCAATTCAACATGCAAAAAACGGTACAAACTTATTTAATCGTTCCGAAATTTCGGTATTTTTGTTACATACACAGATCGAAGAATACTTTTTTATTTTAGAATGCCATTGAAAACGATATGATAATCAGTCTTGCAAGAGAAAAACTTTGTGAACAAACAATTTCAGTTTGTTCAAAATGATATGTGTATGAATCAGACTTGCTGAAATCATTCCAAATTCTGCCAAACAGTTAAATGCATGAATATTTTTTGTTTCAAAATATGAATTTGCAAAAAAATGGTTATTTTTTTCAAAAAATTCTCCATGATAATAATCGATCCTTTTGACAATCGTTATTGATCCACATATCTACAGGAATTTTCAAAAGATCTTAAAATTGACAGAAAAACTCTCAATCATTTTTATCATTTTCCGATACAAATAAGACAATTCCATCAATCAATTTCTTGTCAATGTTCGGTGATCATGATTGTTTTGACAAGCGAATTGAACCGATTGAATGATAATGATAAGACAATTTGCAAAACAAATTTTTTTTCAAATTACTTAATTACATTCTCTTACTTATCATATTTAATTTTAATCAATCATCTTAAGTTCTGCCAAACTATGACGAATGATGTCTTGATAAACAAATCGTCTAATTTATTAACACAAAAAAACTGTGCTTTTTTGGGAAAAAACTTTAGTAAGTTTGTTAATATCATCTATCAGAGAATTTTTTGAACTAAAAATGTTTTTTCCAACATTCTAAAATGCATTCTTTTCTTGCTTACGTCCATTAGCATAAAAGGCAATTATGTTTGTTTACTCATCGATATGAAAATTGTTAAATTGAAATGAAATTGAATTGTGAAAACGGAACAAGTAGTAAAATATATTGGTGATGGCTGTTGTAATGACAGTAACACTAAGATTGATGACTCAAATACTCAAATACTTAAGGATACTATATAAGTGGAAAGTGCTATCAACAAACAAGTTTCAGCTCCTCCTTATAGAAGACAGCGTTGCTTCCTTGTCACAATTGTTGTTTTCCAATATGCTTTGAAAATTATTCCAATCATTTTGAAGATATAGCAATGTCATACAATAAATTAACATTCTTCAAAACTTCTCGAGAATGAATTATTACAACATACTCTTCTTCTAGCAAAAACACTGAGGTCACATAAAACGATGACAGGAAAAATGAAATGTCAAGAAAATAATGATAAATAATTTATCGGTTTTCTCAGCTTGTAGAAGAATTTAAGGGAAATGACTTCGAGATAATTAGAATGAACTTGCAAAATTGCTGTATTTATGTCAAAGTGAATGGTACAAAACGGTCATTTCACTGAGCAATCAATACATTTAACTTGACATCATATTGGGGCACATATAAAAGTAATAATGCAAATTTTTGAAAACAGTGCGCGGAAAGTTCAATTTGTTCAAGTAAGAGTATGTAAAAATCAAATTTTAAATACCGAAGTATAAATAAATTACTCAAAAATGTATGGAATTAAATTATTCATCTATATTTGGACAGAGTAAATCACAAGCATGCTACTGTCAGGAATAGTAAAGAAAATAGTTCTGTGTATTCAAATTTAAACGTTGCAGTGGAATAAGTTAAGAGCGCTTTTCATCATATCAACGAGTTAGCTTATGGATATAGCAATCTAATTAAATTATTAAATTGAAATAAAATTTTACTTGAAATAAAGAATTACCCCAAGATTTTCATTGTGACGCTTATATTGTTTAGAATGTTCAGTCATTAAGAGAGAAATTTGATATTGCAGTTCATGACATTTTATGCAATAAAATCATTAACTTGTAATAATGTGAAAAAGATTTTATTTATTTTGTTTGTTGCAACAAAATGAAAATGTTTTTGGAATTAAAAAAAGTCAAACATCCACCATTCATTTGCAGTTGATAATTTATTGAAATTACTGAATAAAATGCTGTTAGCTAGCTTAGCACATCCTAACTGACAATTAATTGTCTTATAATTAATTGACTCGAAATCCTAAATTTGATTCATCCAGCTCATATCCAATCTCGGATCAATTTTTCTTGATTCATAACGAGATAATTAATGTACCTTGCTAATTATAAAGTAAAAAAGAACAAATAGCAGAACAATTTGTTATAATTTTTAAAGAAAGAAGTCTTTAACCTAAAAAATAACTTTAAATTTGGAAGATATTCATTATGTTTGCATCTTTTATAATATTTATTTAAACAGTCAACTGGGAAAAGATTTACGACAGCTATCATTCAACATAACTTACTGAAATCAGTATAAAAGATTGTTTTGTAATAGTTCAATAACAATGTCTCTCTCTTCTGAACGGTTAACTTTTCACAATCCAACTAATAGTATTTGATTTCGATCTCAAAAATGCGTTGTAAAATTCCTAATTTAATCAAAAGAGTTGGTTGTATAAGTTTGTTTAACTAAAGATAAGAAATTTTTCCCACGTTATATTTGATTATTAGTGATTTTAATTGTTATTAATTGATTGTCTAGTTTTTTTTTAAAATATCTACAAAGAAACAATATGATAACAGTACCATTAGTTAATTTTAACCTTGATGTTCATTCTTTTATTTGCCAACTTTATCTAATTTACATTTACAAAGTATATTTAGTATGAAGGTTACGCACATTTAATTTCAAATGATTGAATATATTTACACTGATTATTGAGATAAGAATAATACGTCATTTTATAAGGATGAAAAGCAGTGCTGTAATAAGATTTATTTAGCTTGATATGTGTAACCTTCACATTAAATATACTTTATTTAGCTTGAAATTTCAAAAATTTTCAATATGACCCGTTAAGTAGTGAAAATTTTAATACAATATTGAATGAAAACTGTAAATAAATGTATAATTGTATTGGTTTATAGACGGGTGCAAAATATTAGAATTTGAATTGCAGTAATGATGAATTATTGAGAAAAGTAATAGGCAAGAATTATTGACAATAAATGATTCATGTCATTGCTTTAGAGAAGTTAAATTTTTGTACAGTAAAATAAAATCAAAATTCTAAGGATAAATTCGTTGATAACGAATAAAGGTGTGCTTTTGCATTCCATGCGTTAATGTTTCCATGTCGAGACGTGCTTGCAAAGTATTCTTGTCCAGCAATGTCCATTCTCGTATCAACTATAAATGAAAATTGTGCAAGTAATATATGTTTAATTTTTAACTAAACATTAAAATCATATCGTTAGGTTAACATATAAGCAGCTAAAGCATGTAATAGCAAATCATAGCGATGCTACGCATTAAAAAATATTTATTAATTCCTAATAGTAAAAAAATGTTGGTTATTAAAATTATAATTAAATGCGTAAATTTTGAAACTAAAAATTTCCGAGAATTTCTTTGTTGGCAGTTATATGACAGGATTACTAAAATTGATTTGCTTTAAGCATTTCTAAAATTACAGAAATCCCATCACATTATTCTCAGGTTCGTTTGTGTTAGCATTTTTTAATTGCTAATCCATTAATAGTTATAGGAGAATAGGAAATAAACGACGTAATAAAAAAATGTATTTAATATTTAAAAATGAACTTTCAGTAAAATATCAAAGCATTTTTTTCCTTATCAAAAAATTATTAGTATTTTTATAAGCGTAGAAATTCTTAAAATAAAATTATTGGAAATATTTAAGTGCAAGAAACTTTGATATTGTGCAAAACTTTTATATAAAATAAAATTTTATTGAACAACGTTTGCATCGGATCAATCCATTTTTTCTTTAATTGAGGAAAATATATGTGAAAGGAATAAAAAAAAATATTAAATAGTAACTAGAAACAAAGAAATTGTAACTTTCTAGATATTCATTTGAACCATTTTATATTAAATGAAATTTCAATTATTCAACAATTTTGGGAGGAAAAAAATTCTTATAAATTTAGCAGCTTACTTTAAGAACTGGTAGATCTCTGCTGAAGCTAATTCTTCCGATATCTTTCAAATGAAATTCTATTCGATTTAGCTCGACAGTTCCCTGTTCAACCGTTACAAAACATGAAATTTAAACTTTTAAAAATTTATCAAAAATATTTCCAAATATGCCATTTTTCATATCTAGCAAATTAAATTGAAATAGATTATCTCCTGTTTACTTATCGATACATTCAATTCAATGCCGAGCAACATGCACTATGAACTTGCCATTATCCATTACAGTAGTAAGTGAAACAGTTTTTGTATTGGGTTCCATTGCAATATAACCATATTCACTGTGCAATTCCTCATGACCTGATGACCCCCACGCAAATGCTCTAAATAAAATACAGTAATTCATTTACTACTGCACGATCAGTCAGCGTGGAATTTTTTATCATAACATTAAATTTTGTTCTTATCTTGTTGATGTTATGTCTTAACTTATAATCTTTCGTTATTAATTTTAATCTTGATTTAAAGAATAATAATGTTTTAGTAAATGACACTAAGATTAAATGATGAAATTGCTATGATCGTGTGAAAATGAAGCAATGACCGGTTTTGCATTTTAACTAACAACTAACTTTCCGCAAACATTACGAAAATTACATACGTGTAATTGAGCGCTTTCAATCCGGTCATGTGATCGTCAGGAATTGAAATTTCAACTTGTTCGCCATATGTAAATGTTGGTATTGTTGGAAAAATTGCTTTCCCACCGTGTTCCGATCGCCAAATGCCAATTAGCCATGCAATGGGTTGTAAATGAGAAGGAACACGTGAAACATCAAATCCTACCAAAAAAAGTGAAAAAGCAAAGCGAATCAATAGCACACTTTGCATATTTGAAAATATTTATAAATTTTATTTCTTAATAAAACTTCAAAATTTTAGTAAATTTATACTTGACAGAGTGACGAAAATGTTTAAGCTACAGGTTACAAGTAAAAAACCTATATGATAAAAGAATGAATAAAAGTTATAGAAATTTTCATGAATTTGGTAAAAAAGTTCAGAGTGAATGCTTGAATCTCGTGTAAAAAAATCGAGATGTTTTAATTCAAAAGTAATGGAAATAAAGTACTTTATATTCATACTTGGTTCTAGTTTTTTTGTGCAAAAACCACATGATCTGGGACAACTTTTAATGATATAATCGGTAGTTTGACAGAGCGAACCACGTGATGTAATCCAATCGCGGCAATTGTTATTCAAATCTTCACAATGTTGTCCTGAACTTCTTAATGAAATTTAAATTTTTATGCTTTTTTCAATTCTTAATTTGTTAGTTATAAATAAATTTTTGAGCAAAAACAGATAATAAAACTACCGGTTTAAGAAAAAAAAATCATATTCTGTGGTTTTCCTTAGTGGAAGCATTTTAATTTCGTTAAAATAAATTGTGCTGAAAGTCTTAAACTGAAGTAGGATAAATTTGAACATTTTATGAAAATATGTGAGGTTCACCTTTGATGACATTAAATATGGCAGCAATCGCGAAAGCCGAAAATAACAAAATGGATTGCATATTTTGGAGGAGAGAGAGAAGCAATAGGGTAAGACGGGTCACCACCCGTTTTCTTGCTGCAAAACATCGCTTTTAAATCATTCATCAATGAGAATGATGATAAATGCGACAATCACAGTAACGGCAGCATGTCGTAATCAGATTTTCCCGTTGCTATTTCTTACATTGCTCTGATGATGAGGCGGTGATAAGAATGCTGATATAATGTATTTATTTGATATCAGAACAGATGATAGCCGTGAGATTAATTCTAATAATTAATTAAGGTCAGCACTTCCTTTCTCTTATTTATCGAATGAAATGCCCCAAATAATGAAATTTTCAATAATAATGAAACAAAATATTTATCGCACATTATTGCAAATGGATGGGATGATATTTATGAAAACTTGTTTTGCAATTCCAACTGTTCTCTTCAAGTTCGTTACACATTTTTTTTAGATGTCAAAATGCTCTTTGTGATAAAAGAGATGAAAAATTGTAGTTGTTTTTTTATTTCATCATGAAATTAATAAACAACTGTAACCATATGCAATCTAATTGTAACAGTGTTATTAAGGACATTTTCGTTAATCTTTAAATTAAATCCTTTTAAAAATGCATCAAAAAACATAAAAAAATGCTATCAATTACGAAATATTTTAAATTTATAAATTATTGAAATAATTTAATTTAGTGCTAAATTTAATATTGATACAATTTAAAAAATGCTATTAGTTTTAGCTTTTTTTTCTTAGCTTTAGCTGAAAATTCTTTTCTTGACGTTTTCAACAGGTAAACGAGCCAAGAGAAGTGACAAGTGAATTAACCGTTGGCTATAAATTTATTTAATTAATAATTTTGATAGTTCAGATTATAACGATGCTTTGTTTCCTTTTTTCAGAAGAATTATTATATTTCATTATTAAATTTATTTCTATTACTGCTTACTTAACATTGAAGTCTTGGTAATATACTTCCAATAGATTTAAATGAATTATTGTAACTTTTCAGTTTTAAAAAAAAGTCAGAAAGCTTACAGTTTTGAATGTAAGAGCTGCAATATAATCATTTATAATCTTTTTTTATAAATCTTTTATTATTGAATAAGTAAAACAGCAAAAAAATTTTGAAAGTATCTATTTTATACAGAATGCAATATTTTTTTGAACTAAATTGTTGATTATTGTTTGATTTCTTTCTAGCAATCAACTGAGTTCATTACTGATTGTGCAAACTTTAGAGAGATATTAACTTTTCAATTTTTTTTTTCAATGAACATTCTTTTATCATTTTCTAATTAAAAATAACATGAAAACCAACCATTTTCCAGTTAAAAATAATATGAAGTGACATGAATTAGCAAAATGACGTGTAAATATCAAGAGAGAAAGAGAAAGAAAAGAGAGAGTTGAAAGGAAAATTGATTTGATACTGAGTTGGATGTCAACATATTATTTCGTGCCCAATAAGCTTTTTGAGTAAGAAAAAAACAGGAAAACAATTTTATGAAATGACAATGAACCTTTTATTCCAAATGGATATTTTCGAAGTTTATTCAATTCTTTTCAAGCTTATGTATGTATTTTCTTTAACCTCTGATTACTACTGTACTTCAGTTACTATCATTTGTCTTATTTTATGCTTTTCATCATTAAACTTCTCTTCTGTAATATTTAAAACCATTATTCAGTTCCATAATTGGTTTTTTTTTGCCAAGAAATCACTTCCTACTATTGACTTTCAACTAATTATCCCATATTATTGCTTGATTTTTCATTTTTACATTCATCAAAATCTTTTCCCTCATTGAAAAAATTTTCAGTAATACTTTATTAGTTGAAAAAATTCTATTAAAAAATTACATTTGTTTTGTTGTTATCAAGAAATTTTATGTGATAAATTTTCCGGGCTTTTCTATTTTTCATAAAGTGCAT